AGAAGAAATATTTTAAAAAGACAAAAGATATATAAATAGAAAAAGAAGAAAAAAACACAATATCTGGCAAGGAAGGAACAACATAAGAGCTAGAGTAAATGAATAATAGAGAAAAAAGGAAAAAGAAAAAGAATGGGAAGAGCCAAAAGAAAGAAAAAAGATGGGAACCAAGAAAAGGGAGAAAAAAGAAAAAAAACCTAGAATGTGGGAGGGAAAAAGAAAGAAAAAAATAAATAAAAAGGAAGAAAAAAAGAGTAAAAAAAAACAAAAATACAATTGGGGGGATGGGGAGAGTGGGGTGGGGCATGGCACCCAGGCTCCATCAGAGCACACAACTGGGATGGAATTTTTGCTGGTCCAGAAGGTGGGTGGAGTGTTCATTAAGAGAATGTGGGATATAAGAGTAACAAGGGGACTATCACACATTTCCAGTCATCAGTTTCCAGTGTGGTTGCCCATGCTGTCCTGGGCAAGCGGAGCATATTCCTACTTAGGCAGGTGAGATCTGAATGCTGCTGCTTTAAATATCTATAATGGCCACACTACTTGTAAATATTGAAAATGGCTGCACCCTCCAGACAACCAAAAGCCCACAGCTCGGTTTGCCTCTTTCTTTGCTGTTTCCCTTTTTAATCTAGTGCAGTTGTCCAAGCAGCCCTTGGCGAGCAGGGCCAATTTTTAGTTATTGCTCAGGTCCTAACACGACTTGTAAATATTCATACTGTCCATGCCATCAGTATAGCTGACAGTCCACAGTTCCGTTTGTCTCCTTATTCACTGTTTTTATTCAGGTTCTTCTGCTAGTTGGTATTTAATCTACTTCTGTATCCTTCCTTTCAAAACTCAGGGCTCCAGAATTATGTTCTGTATCTGTGTCAATTTCTTTCTCTTTTCTTTGGTTGAAGAGAGTCTGTGTAGCTTGTCTGTTTATTCTGCCATGTTACCAGAACTCTCCAGCTCTTCAACACTTCCATTCTGGCCCCAGCTAATTACTATAATCCTTTCTACCAATTCATAGATAAGAGATTTCAGCAAAATCTCAGTGTTCAGGCTTAATTTCATGGGAATCATTAGAGACCAACAGCTTACTATAGCATCTCTCTTGAGATGCTATAGCATCTAGACGCTTATAGCATCTCCCCACCTTGGCTGAGGGCTGCAAGTGAACTAGTGGAGTCTTCTGTTCTGCCACCTTGGTTTTAGGGCCTCTTTTAAATTAGTTCCTCATACGGCACTATCTTTGTTGCTCACTGAAAAGTTTCATTTCTCAGCAAGTACGTTTCCCTCTTAGTTTCTTAGTACTGCTATCACAGAAATAACACAAGTGGGTGGCTTTAAGGAACAGAAATTAATTTTTTACCAGTTTAGGAGGCTAGAAGTCCAAATTCAGGGCACCAGCTCTAAGGGAAGGCTCTCTCTGCTCTTGGGGAAAATCCTTGTCTGACCTTGGTGTTTCTTAGAAATCTACATATGGCATTTATCTTTCCCCATCTGTGCTTCCTTGCTTCTGTCCCTAATCTACTTTTTTAAAATATGTCAAAAGTGATTGGTTTAAGGCACATCCTATACTGGTACAGCCTAATTAACATAACAGAGAACAATTTATTCCCAGATGGGATTATATGCACATGTATAAAAACCAAAACCAAACCAGCTCCCATGGAGGCAATTCTGACTCATAGTGACCCTATAGGACAGAGAATTTCCTCACAGGGTTCCCAAAGCTATAAATCTTTCTCCCAGAGAGTGGCTGTTGGGTTTGAACCAATGATCTTTGGATTAGCAGCTGAGTGATTAACCACTGTGTCCACCAGGGCTCCTTATCCACAGGTATAGAAGTTAGGATTTACAACACATATTTTTTGGGGGAAACACAATTTGATCCACAACACTATCCTATGAACTTCTATTGCTTTGTCTGAGACACCAATAAGACTGCTAAGGCAGGGCTCTCCCTCACTGTGGTCAGCAGTACTCAACTTTGCCCTGTCCATAAGTTGTTTTTGTAGCATTTTCAGTAAGCCAGTTTATGACAGCAGCTCTCATTAGACTTTGTCCTAAACTCTCCTCTAAAAGATTTCAGATTATTAAACATATACATACACACACACATTTTATATATATGCCTTTTGCTTTGGCAAATGTTATTGATTCAATCATGGTTGCCATTTTCTGGTAACCTTATAACACAAGCATTTAAGTATAGACTAAGGAGAGTTAGAAGGGTTTTTGAGTAAACTAACAGCTGTCAAGTAGATTCTTACTATGAGTTGGAACTGACTCAATGGCTGTTTACTCTTCTGAAAAATGTTGGTTACTAGAGGGCTTTTAGGAGCTCTGGTAGCTTAGTGCCTAAAGCACTTGACTGCTAACCAGAAGGCTGGCGGTTCAAACCCACCAGCCACTCCTCGGAAGGAAGATTGGGCAATCTACTTCTGTAGAGATATTGCGTGGAAACCGAAGCATTGTTCACTATGTGTCAGGACCTACTCAACGGCAGTGAGTTTGGTTTTTGGAGTTTAACCAAAAAACAACCAAAAACAAAACTCATTGTCATCAAGTCAGTTCCAACTTGTAGCTACCCCAGGCGGTATCTCTATGGAAGTAGATTGCCCAGTCTTCCTTCGGAGGAGTGGCTGGTGAGTTTGAACCACCAAGCTTCTGGTTAGCAGTTGAATGTCTTAGGCTCTATGCCACCAGAGCTCCCCAAGACTATACAAATTGGAATCAATTCAATGGCAGGGGTTTTGGTTTTGGTTAGAGAAACAAGATGTAATTCCTTCTTCTGTTGGTTCCTTATTGTTCTGTAACACTAGGGAGTGGGGAGGTTTTCTTATTTCTGTCTAGGTCGGTTTCCTCTTATCTTCTCTGCTGTTCACTCAGGAATGCCAAGCCTGGGGCAAATCACAGCATGTTCTCAGGCCACCCTAACCCAAGGGACATGTACATTTCTCTCCAAGAGAAATCTGGTTCTGGTAACTTTCAAGAACAGACAAAGTGTAGGGAAAAGCAGTCTTGAGGAGTTGACTGAATGGAGTTTATTGGCCAACTTGAGTAAACTGTCTAAATTCCAACTGCCAGCGCTGCTCCAATTTTCCATTAGGTGCTCAGAGCAGCTCCCAAGCCTGCCACCTGAGGGACTGAAGGACCTAGATTTGGTCCAGGGAATCCCTAGGTGGTACAAACAGTTAACTTGATCAGCTGTTAACCTAAAATTGAAAGTTTGAGTCTACTCAGAGGTGTCTTGAAAGAAAGGCCTGGCAATCTGTTGCCAAAAAATCAGTCTTGAAGATCCTACGGGGTTGCCATGAAGAGATTCAATAACTGGTTATTCACAGGGAAATTGGGGGTGAGGTGGGAGTAGGTATATGGCCTTCAACAGCTGGAGAAGGAGGTAGACTTCACCCTATGTGGCTCCAAAGGCAAACAGCCAGTGGGACTGAAAACCAAGAACTTGGGTCCCACTTGGCATATAAACCTTTCACACAGTTATCCAGAAACACAAAGCAACAGGCTTCCTGGCACTGGAAGTGTTCAGCCTTACTCCAAAGGCCGTATCAGGCAATGGTAAAAATCTTTAAACTGGGGAGGAAAGTGGACAACAAAATCAAGACACTTTTCTAACTCTCAGGAGTCTCTATACTTAAATGCTTGTCCTGACTCTCTTGCCTTCTGAAGTCTTCAGTATGTGCCATAAGATATGACCCTTAAATATAGTTTGTTTTGTTTTGTCTTGGTGTGGGGTTTCTTGCATGTTGGCCTTAGTCCCCAAACTGGGACTGTTAACCTTCCTCACAATAGAGACAGGGACACAGCAAGTGGCTGCTCTGGGGCAAAAAAAAAAAAAAAAACCAACTCACTGCCATTGAGTAGGCTCCAGCTCTTGGCTACACCTTCTTGGGTTTCTTAGGCGGTATCTCTACAGAAAAAAATTGCCTAGTCTTCCTTCCCAGGAGTGGCTGGTGATTTGACCTGCCAGCCTTCTGGTTAGCAAATGCCTCAGAAGGTGGAAATAGGCCTCCTCCCCCTAGGCCACGACCTATATATGGTTCTTTGAACTTCTTAATACCCTACAATGCTCTGGGCTAAGGCCTGCTAAGCGTTTCATACGCTTTGGTCACTGTCTTTAGATATCAGAATTAAGAAATAGAAAAATACCTAGCTAGAGAAACAGTTTAACATCTTCAAGAAATCCAGAGCAACTAAGGTTTCTCCTAGGTCAGCATGTCAGGGTGGGGACAATCAAGTTGGAAAGAGGAAACATGCTGTTGAAAAAGCAAGTAAAAAAGAAAAAGACTCAGGGTGGGTGTATCCGAAGTCGAGGAACTTAGAACTCGCCAGCTTTTTCCGGAGACCCCCAGGGGTGGTGTGCTAGGCCTGCGTGCCCCAGCAGGGCAGGGAGGGGACTGTGGCAGGCTCCGAGGAGGTAGCTCTTAGAGGTGGGAGCGGCCTGCCTCTCCCCGGATTTGTGACGTGCAGGGAACAGCAGTGGTGACGGGACCACCACGCAAAGCTGTGTCCTCGGGGCCAGGGTCTCCCAGGCTAACTTAGTCCCGGTGGGATGGGAAGGGGGTGGGGAGCGAGGCGCTCCCAGGCGCCCGGGCTCGGCGGAGTATTAAAGTG